ACACATCATTGCTGAAAGTGTTGCCCTTTCTCTGCCAAAGTCCTATGGCAGCTGTCTTTCAGATGGCTCAGCCAAGTAAAGAAGATGTGGTTCATTTATGGGATCTGAACTCCGAACCTTCACAGATGGTGTTGTTTGGGCCATTGGGGGACCCAGGAATCGGCTTCCATCCAGGGCTGCAGCGGCACTCGTAGCTGGCCTCGGTGTTGTGGCATTGGGTGGATTTGTGGCAGGAGTTTTGTCCTGAGGTACATTCATCCACATCTGAGGACAAAGCAGAGATAGTGTCAGGCCTCCCTCCACTCCATGACCCCTAAGCTCCTGCCCTTTCTCTCAAATTACACTCTGGACACCCCACTAAACCCTGCCTAAGAGCTACCTAGTCGGACAGTTATACACAGTTGTTGTGACATTTTCCACCTTAGAAGCACCATAAGCTTAGAGCGCTCCTGCAAGGTGTACAGGACAGGACTGTGTGTGAGTGTGTGCAAGTGTCATCCCTAAGATGTGCCCTAACCTGTTGGGCAGGTTGGACTGGGCGAGGACCTGTGATGAATTTGTAACCAGGGAGGTTGCCACACTGACAGCTCCCATGTGCGGAGGCTGTGGGCTGTGGCACCCCTGCGCCTAGAGCTGCACTCCTGCCCTTATTAGAACAGAATCTAAACATAGCCCTGCCCAGCCCAGTTCACCATCTCCTCACTGCGTGCACCGGGAACACATCATTGCTGAAAGTGTTGCCCTTTCTCTGCCAAAGTCCTATGGCAGCTGTCTTTCAGATGGCTCAGCCAAGTAAAGAAGATGTGGTTCATTTATGGGATCTGAACTCCGAACCTTCACAGATGGTGTTGTTTGGGCCATTGGGGGACCCAGGAATCGGCTTCCATCCAGGGCTGCAGCGGCACTCGTAGCTGGCCTCGGTGTTGTGGCATTGGGTGGATTTGTGGCAGGAGTTTTGTCCTGAGGTACATTCATCCACATCTGAGGACAAAGCAGAGATAGTGTCAGGCCTCCCTCCACTCCATGACCCCTAAGCTCCTGCCCTTTCTCTCAAATTACACTCTGGACACCCCACTAAACCCTGCCTAAGAGCTACCTAGTCGGACAGTTATACACAGTTGTTGTGACATTTTCCACCTTAGAAGCACCATAAGCTTAGAGCGCTCCTGCAAGGTGTACAGGACAGGACTGTGTGTGAGTGTGTGCAAGTGTCATCCCTAAGATGTGCCCTAACCTGTTGGGCAGGTTGGACTGGGCGAGGACCTGTGATGAATTTGTAACCAGGGAGGTTGCCACACTGACAGCTCCCATGTGCGGAGGCTGTGGGCTGTGGCACCCCTGCGCCTAGAGCTGCACTCCTGCCCTTATTAGAACAGAATCTAAACATAGCCCTGCCCAGCCCAGTTCACCATCTCCTCACTGCGTGCACCGGGAACACATCATTGCTGAAAGTGTTGCCCTTTCTCTGCCAAAGTCCTATGGCAGCTGTCTTTCAGATGGCTCAGCCAAGTAAAGAAGATGTGGTTCATTTATGGGATCTGAACTCCGAACCTTCACAGA